CTGATATATTTGTAAAAACATTTTTTGTTATCCTTGACTGCAGTGGCCAGTTTAAGTTCCAGCTGGGCCTTCGCCTTTCTAATTTTCTCCCTCCATAACCTCACAACATCCTTGTAGTCCTCCTGAGTCACCTGCCCCTTCTTCCAAAGGTGGTAAGCTCTCCTTTTTTTTCCTGAGTTCCAGCCAAAGCTCTCTGTTCCGCCAGGCCAGTCTTCTTCCCCCCCTACTCGTCTTTCGGCACATGGGGACAGCCTGCTCCTATGCCTTTAAGACTTCCTTCTTGAAAAACATCCATCCTTCCTGGACTCCTTTGCCCTTCAGGACTGCCTCCCAAGGGACTCTGTCAACCAGACTCCTAAACAGTCCAAAGTCTGCCTTTCTAAAGTCCAGGGTAGTGGTTTTGCTGACAAAAAAATGGCCCGTACGGGGATCGAACCCGCGACCTTGGCGTTATTAGCACCACGCTCTGAACCAACTGAGCTAACCGGCCTGGTATCAAAATAACCCGCCCTAATTAAAGGAATTTGAATATAAACAACCCAAATCGCTTTGATTAGCAACAATTCAATTAGTGTATGATTTTATTATTCTTATTTAAACCAACAAGGTACTGGAATATCAAAGTCTATATTTATGTTTTAAATTCTGCATTGTGTACACAAACCGGTACTTCTAAGGCTTCAAGAAACTTGAGCTTGAACTTCAGATTTATTGAAACTCTTGAATTCTCTGTTGCCTTCACTGCATTTTATAATGTGGCAAAAGAGTGAATTTAACAAGAAAACGCTGCCTGGAGCATAACCTTAATCACCCTCCAACAGCTAGCATTTTTTTTTATTCCATATAACTAAAACCTATGTATTCTGCTCCTTTCTTCATGTCGTCTTCACGTTTTCAAACTGTATACAAACTTCTACAAGATTGCACTGATCAAGCAATGCTCAAAGTAGAAGACTCCATTCATTAAAGCATGTTGACGAGTACTACTGGTAAAAGGGGACAAGATTGACCATCTGCGACTGATCATCTCCTATCCTCAAATTCAGAATCAATATGAAAACAAGCTTCAAGAAGAACAGGTTAATGATATGGATCAGGTGTTAAAAGCCTGGAAGGTACTACAATAAGAATTTTTTTAAAAATCAAACAGAATGAGACTTAGTCACCTATTGGAGAAAACAATGGGTCACTAAATAATACATTGGCCTGAATCTAGGTTTAATTCTGAATTGTGCCATTAACTTCCCACATTTTCCCGAATGTATGAATTAACCCACTTTATTCTAGAGAGAAATACACATAGATGGATTTCTACCACACATCAGTCCTTTCAAAAGTGCCATATTAAGTCAAATTTTTATGGAAACATTAATTTACACTTCTAAAAGTGATTACTGTCATAAAATCAAGGTTGTATTTTGTTCCCATTAAATACCTCAAACATAATTTTTAAAACACTATGTTCACAAAGACACTCTATTATTAATAACAAAAGAAATTAAATAGATAACATTCCATAAGCAAAGTACCTCGATCTTTTTTTTTCTGCTGACAGAAAGACAGATTTTTAAGTCACTTAAAGTCTGTTCATTCATCTGAGAGAATACTGTTTTGTTGAATATTTCACATAGTCATGATAAATCTATCTACAGTAATTGACTGGATTTTGTTTGAAAACATGCTGCAGAGGCATTAACAAATACACCAATGTAATGAGCTGCAGCTGTTTGTTGACAGCAGTGCACAGTATATTATGAAGAGATTTGTTACATCTCTGATTAGCAAAGTCCTTTTTCACACCTTTGATTACTGAGAAAGTTTATACATTTGCCCATGAGACTGTTTTTTTTAGTCTACTACGTAAGAACTTCAGTGACTGGTAAAGAAAACGTCTGACTATTCAGCTCAATTCAAGACCAACCTTAGTTGCTTCAGACCCAAATTCTCCTTTCACTGCGCTGGTTAATTTTCAAGATCACACAAAATAAGGACAGATCTGAAGGATTTATAAAGCCCAATACAGAAGTTGATTGAGAGAAATCCACAGTAAAGAATATGGATGAGGATTTTAAAGAAGCAACATCGTTGCATGGTAGTCATTTGACACCTTGCCATTGATCCAGGAGTGCAGGGTCATCTATTTCACACTTTCACCTAATGCCAGTAGCAATCTAGGACTGACTTCAAAATATTCTTGGCATCAGTTATTTCGCCGAAGACAAGCGCTTTCGTAACAATAAATACATGACAATCATTGTCTGCCATGTCAAATCTTTTCTTTCAATATGGACAGCTTTATTCTGTTGGTTCCTTCATAGAGAAAAAACCATCACACCAACAACGAAAAAAAACCTGCACAACTCAGAAGTCACCCAAACGCCCGCCATGAACTTTTTTGGAAGGAAATTGTCTCCTTAAGAGAATCTCCAACCTTCTCATTCATTTTTGTCATTAACATACATGCATGCACTCACCCTCCAAAAGAAAACAGCTTTTTCTTGGTCACAAGACAACGGCATGTAATGGGTTAGAGTTTCAAAGCTATTTATGTACCTAAGACAATCGATAGGAAACTACTTGGATTTTGAGTCGTACCTACGCAGGTGGTTCTTGGCTCCCACTGGAAACAGTAATGAGTTATGCAATAAAAATACACTTTGGCATAAATTATGCCAATCTGCCACATGCTGTTTTCAAATTACAGCTGTAAAATACACTATATTTGTCCAACAGTTATTGCTTTGAATCACTGAAAATCTCTTGATCTGGGGCCAAAACTCATAGTTTTACCAAGGTCAGTGCTTAACATTTCATACATTTTTAATCAATTTTCTCTTTCTACAGATAGCCCACCATTATTATTGTCATATGACTTTTACTGAAAATTTTTACAAACCAGTAGTATTATTTCCAGAGCTGATAGGTCATGAAAACCCTGAAGCCATCATTAAAATTCACAAACATTCTCTCATGAACTATTTTACCCTATATATATATATTGCTGCAGGGTGGCTCAAAATATGACAGGTGCAAAACCAAAAATATACCTGAACTGCATTTTAATTTTGTCTTTCTCATATTCATATTTCAAAAGAGTTTTCTTTCTACAAAGTCATTTCTAACAACATTACAAAAACAGTAATCTCAGAACTGCCTCAAACACTTTGAGATCTATAAATAATTGCTAATCCTTTTCCAGGTCATAATGGACTTACTTTCTTTTGAAGTATACCTGTCTGTGAATGGTTTTTCCATTTTTAAAACATATTTTCTTCTTAATACCTTGTGCTTAATGCTTTTCGGAGAAAGGGGGCTTAGGATTTTATTCAGAGTGTATTCCCGAAATCCTTGTCTACACACAACATGCCCTCTTTGTATTGGAAACAAGGCTGGCTCTAAAGCTCACTGGAGTTGGAAAGAACCTGCCTGTAGAGTATTAACCCTTTTAATACTAACAAAGTCCTACCTTTGATTATCCTTGGCTTTGTTTTTTAACTTTCTTTTTACCCCAAAGGTAAAAGCCTGGAGACTAGATTTTATGCCTCAGGATTGTGTTTTACTCCAGTATTACAGACAAAATCCTTAAAAAAAACCTAGAAGCAAATTATAGAAAATTCCAATTGATTTTAATGAGGCCAAAACTTTATCCTACATATTTTTGTTTTCTTTCCATCTAAAGCAATGAGACCCTTAATTTAAACAATTGCATAAACATGCATCTCAATTTAAATATTATACAGCCAAAAATCTGTTCTTGTAGCCTTGAGATCCCTGACCTAGACCAGTAAGCTAAATTCAAACTTTTAAAAATGGAGACAATCGTTTGGGCAATAACCTATCTGTATAAACAACAGCAAAAGCTTTCTGTTATAAATATCAGTGATAACTCCATAAACTACACTGAAGCTCATGAACTCAAGCAGCACCCTATAAATTCAAAATTAATCCTTCACCTTCCTCAGAAGCAGCTGTTTTGACTGCAAGGCAGCTGAGGCTGTATGGTTCTTGAATGGTTTAAGTACCACACTCGCCCACCAAGGTTGTACCATCATCAGACAACTCTGCTGGCACAGATTTGGATTCTTGTAAAGCAAATACCAGCTGTGAAAAAGAGCAGTTACTAGTGACTCTTCAGTCTAAGACTATGGAGTTATCCTGGTATGCATCTAACCAGCCATCCCAGCATGAAGTAGTGGGAATCAACGATCCACAAGTGATGCGGGTCAAAACACTCCTCTCAGACTCATAAGGTGTTCTATGTCATAAGGTGTTCTATGTTCTATGCAGGCAGCTTGCAGGCTCAGGTAGGCTGGGCATTTTTAGATAAAACTAGGGAGTCACGTTCACATTGCTCTTACTCAATTCCCATGAATATTTGCCCAGAGACATGTGGAGTCACCAACCTTGGAGATATTCAGAACATCAACGAGCAGAGCCCAGCTAACCTGATCCAGTTTTGAAGCTGGACCAGATGAGCACCACAGAGACCTTCCAACCCTAATTATTCTATGATTAAATGATTCTTTCAGAGCATGTGGAAAATCTTCATGAAATGCCAATCCATAACTCCATCCTGCAATATTCAATTTACCTGTTCTGTTTAGAATTCTAATTTTGGGGCTCCTAATTTTAAAATACTCTTGGGCATTTTATAATTGAGGGGAAACGATGAAGCTCTGAACCTATCAGTTCCTTCAGGAAAATCAGAAACAAAACCTAGTTATGCTGTAATTTCATCACTATACCCATATTATTCCAAACATAACATATGAGAGTCTTACTTAACAGTTAGATCAGGGTGGTTAGGTTTTGCAATTTTAGTGCCATTCTGGTGACATCTGAAGTTTGATTTGATACTTTTAGATGCAGCTTCTAATATCACCCTTTCATTAAAAAGAGTATCTCCTTTGTGCAATACGTTATGCACGGGTTAGCAGCAGAAGAAAAGAAATACTATTTTCCTTTTAAAAAACATTATATTTGATACTGAGAAACAATTTATACATTTGAAACATTTGGGACTGTGGCGTGGTTTAATCCCAGCCAGCAACCAAGCACCACGCAGCTGCTCTCTCCCCCTCCCACTCCTGGTGGGATGGGGGAAAGAATCAGAAGGGTAAAAGTGAGAAAACTGGTGGGTTGAGATAAAAACAGCTTAATAATTGAAATAAAATAATACCACTAATAATAATTATGATAATAATGATGATAATAATAATAGTGAAAAGGAAAACAACAACAACAACAAAAGAACAAAAATCCAGGAAAAGCAGATGATGCAACTGCTCGCCACCCGCCAACTGATGCCCAACCTGTCCCCAGGCAGCGATTGCTGCCCCCCGGCCAACTCCCCACAGTTTATATACTTAGCATGACATCCTATGGTATGAAATAGCCCTCTGGCCAGTTTGGATCAGCTGTCTCGGCTGTGCCCCCTTCCCAACTTCTTGTGCACCTGGCAGAGCATGGGAAGCTGAACAAGTCCTTGAC